TACTTAGCGCTTGTCTGACAAAACAATGTCCTTTGACTTTATTACACATCGATGAGGAAATCTGTCTTATTTTTGTTCAGATTTATTGCTGTGTTACTTGTGGGGACATTTGTGATCCAAAAAGGCTAAGGTCCGAAAATAAATAGAAAATTAAGCAGAGTTGATCACAAAATAATAGCTAAAAAAATAAAACCACAAAAGTATAGCCTAGCATACACCAACTTGCTGGGCAAGGTAGAGAGGAGGACCAGGATCCCTTGCTAAGCAACTTAACCAAGGAAGGAAAGGGATTACTTTAATGGGCAGTCACCTGATGGGTGGGGGGTGTAGCTATATCTGAGTCATGTACTACCACCAAGTTGTTAGTTGAAATGTGTCTGAAATGATAGAGCAGGGAGTGCCTCAGAGTGACTCCCACCCATAGGCACCTTACCTCCACGAAGAACTCCAGCTACCACTTGTGGATGATGATTGAGCCCAAGGGAATTAGATGGACTTTGAAGCAGTTTTTGTGCTCTACTTCATCTAAATTTGGGTTTTCCTCGGTGCCCAATAAAAAAGGCCACTGTCTTGTTTTCACTAATAAAGGCCTTTGTGTCCTTCATTTCACACTCTTTAAAATGTTCTCCCATCGGATCAAGAGCCAAAGGGAGGAGGTGACATAATAACCATCATACCCATGATAACAACAACAGACCAATGTGAGTTTAAATCTACTTTGAACGGTTTTCTCCTCTATAAAGCATGGTCTTTCAATTGGGGAAAAAAGAAGCTAAGGTTGGGAATGGACATAATAATAGTGTTTCTAAATGTGATGAAAGCAGGCTTTGAAGAAATCTTCCTGTGGGATCAAGTTTTCTTACCCATCATGATTTCTCACAGAGACATCTGATTTCCAGGCTTTCTGATGAGAAAATGAGGATACCATGTCTCCTCTGGTAAAAAGTAAAGATGTGACCAGATTTGCTATTGGGATGAGAGAGGAATTTTAAGATGTTCCTTTTCTTTTCTTCCCAGACATAACATCTTTAAGGACCTTTGGGTGAGTTTCTGACTCCTCTGCTGTTGCTCCAGTCAGTGAGGACGCAAAAACTTGCTAACATGTTGGCTGCAGTAAATTTTTTCCAACCCAAAGAGATTTATAAAAAAATGGCTCACACTACCGAAAACAGATCATGAACGTGTTTGTCCAGGCATGTCTACCTAACGTGAAATAATAAGAAAGAAAGAGAGAGAGAGAGAGAGAGAGAGAGAGAGAGAGAGAGAGAGAGAGAGAGAGAGAGAGAGAGAGAGAGAGAGAGAGAGAGAGAGAGAGAGAGAGAGAGAGAGAGAGAGAGAGAGAGAGAGAGAGAGAGAGAGAGAGAAGGAAGGAAGGAAGAAAGAAAGAAGAAAGAAAGAAAGAGAAAAGAAAGGAAAATCTCTACCAAGGGGAGGAGAACCGGCAAACACTGGGAATTCTATTCCCATCAGGACACCCCCTCGCCGTTTGCCCTTTGAAAAGGTCCTGTCACTCAGGAAGAGCTGTTTCTGTCTGCACCCACCCACTAGTCAGCCCTGCTCGGCCTCGCAGCCCGGCCCTGGCCCAGCCCGCGGCCCTCCCGCGCGCACCCACAGTTTCTTCCAAGTGGTGTAGAGATGAGAGGTGCAGCTTCTCCTTAGCTGAGCAAGACAAGTACTTCTCACCCCGACCCAGCGCTCGCTCGCTCGCTCGCTCGCTCGACCCGCTGAGGCCCCGGCAGGCAGTTCTTTTTATGTCAAGAAGCCACCAGGCACCCAGGGCTGCCCTCCCCTCCGGGTTGCGGGACAGCGACTCAGAGCTCGGGCCTGTCACGTGGCCTCGCTCGGAGCCCCCGCAGAGCCCTTTGTTAGGTGCCTCTGTCCCCCACGCAGTGGCTGGGGCCCTGCGGCCAGACCCAGATCCATGAACCAACGGGACAGTCCTGCAACCCTGGCTTTGCATCGGCTCACAGGCTAGCCCAGAAACATCTTGGGTGGGTGCTCTGAAGCTCTTAACAAATCAAGATTCCCAGCCCTTTAGAGCAAACCACTTGGGCCACCTCCAAAGTTTCGAACCGAAGGCACAAAGGGGAGAGGGGCCCAGTGGAGGGCGCGCCTCTGCCAACGCGGCGGTAACCATAGGACGGACTTCCCTCCTTTCCATTCCACCCTGCCTGCCGGTCTCACACAGAAGTCTTCCGCCAGGCTCGACTCAGTGGGTGGGACTGTGTGTGTAAAGTACATGGTGTGTGCATATGTGTGCAACTGGGTGGAAATTTCAAAGGCTGTAGCCTACGCTTACAGAGGATGGGCCCTAAGCAAATAGACCGACTTTAGGCGACTTATGTGGGAGCAAACAGAGGGGCAGGTCTGCTCTGAGTGGAACATCTGCAAAACATTCAAGCGGCCCATTCAACAAGGAATCTAGCCATTTACTGTACAAATAATAAAAAGCCACTAATGGTTATGGTTCCCACCCCTTCCCCCAAAAGGCCAAATCCTAATGAAATAATTCAAAGGTAGGCCTCATTCCTAATAGTGGAATTAATCAACAACAACAACAACAACAGCAAAACCCAACTAAACTTCCCAACTGCCCTGTGAAGGCCCTGGGAACCTGGCTGAGAAATTGGGGAACTAATCTATGAGCAGAGCTTCTTCTTCCGGGAGCCATGGAGCTCCACGCACACACAGTTCCACCTTGGTACACAATTAAACCACAGTAAATTCCTCCTTAAGTAGTAAAATTCGGAATACTCTTCAGAATTCAGAGATGTCTCGGGTTAAGTAGTCTTTAAACCAGTTTTGAAATGGCTTGTGCAATGAAGCTACCTTTAAGCCCCAAACTATTATAAATATGCTATACATTTGGGTGCCAGTTTATCTCTTCATATTTCTTTCTAAAATGGGGAAAGCATTCATAAAAAGCTACTTGGCACACTTTATTTTCGGAAAGCAGATGTTAATTTTTTCACGTATCATTTTATGACCAAGTACATGTGTAGCATTGGATGGCATCCAGAACGCCTCTATTATTTGCTAAATGACTGTTAGTTGAAACATATTATTCTCGGCCTAACCATAGTATAGGTTATATCAATAAAGTAAACATCTGTGGGTTTTTTTAAATCAGGGGAGGGGCATAAGGAGTTAGTATAAACGACAGAAGAAGGGGGAAAAAGAGTTTGGGAAGGACAGCGCACCTGTGCTGTAGAAAATTGGGATATTTATATTGTTCGGTGCAAAACAAAGTCCCCCCAACCGGGCACTCGGGGATATTTACATGGCGGGAGATAAAGTTGAAAGCCTTTCCCGGTGTGCCAAATGGGATTCTCCCTGAGGCCTTCTGCGTGGCAAGATAACAGGTACTGAGCGCTCCTGGCTGCTGGGGCCTTTTCCGACTGCCCCGCCTTCCCCCCCACCCCCCCAGCTCCCGCCCTAGGCCGGCGGGGCTCGGAATTCCCAGGCACTGCAGAAATTTCAGCGGGGTTCCCAGCCTAGAAGTACGCTGCGGAAACGTCCTCATTTGCCCTGTGAAGCCGAGATGCCGGGCGCTCGGGATAAGCCAGTGGCCTGATAATTAATGGAATACAATATTTATGGCCGAATGTATTGACTCGGAGGCAAGCGCGCCTCTTAGATAGTCCGTGGGGGTCTGGCAAACAGGGGCGAGTGAGCAAACATAATGACCGCAGTACTTATGTCTATCGGGTTTGCTCACTTAAACCCGAGGTATGTAACATCATGATAAATATTAATATCCACCTTTACAGCTCCTCAGCACCGCCGTCCTGAACTCGCCCTTCCTGAGCGCTGCCCTTTACAAAAAGGCCAGAGAGGAGGTTTTTAACATAAAATGCTGCAAATATGAAAAATAGGTCACCAATAAAATTGGTCTCAGCATGGAGTGTAATTGCAACACAGTGCCGCCGAGTGAGATCGAGGAGTGAGCTGGCTGAGGCGGCACAGTCGCGAACCATCTGCTGTGTATTAAAAGCGGTGCTGTAAATATTGCTGAGAGCTAATGCATTATCGGCTCCTATAAGTGCTCTGGGCCTGCAAGCTTTCCATATGTTAGAACATGGAGATCGGGTGGGCACAAGGAAAGGTGTTCTATCAATCACTACCTTCGAAAACTCCACTCTCGGTGGAGTTGTGGCCTAAAAGTGGAGAACGTACATCTCCATTACCTGCCCCTCCCAGCACCGCTCCCTCGGTCTCTGCTCCTCTTTCTCTTCTCCCCCAGCTTTTCTCAGGCTCCCATCTTTCAACCCCTCCTCCCCTTTCCCTACTCTCCAAGGGGATAGGGCAGGCATTGCTGACGTCATTACACATCAGTAAAAGAGAGTGACTGTTTCAGAGAGAGGGGAGAAATTTCATGTGTTTTTCATCAGTGCTAAATTTTTGCCATTTTAATAGAAATGAGCCGCCCAGCATGGGTGTCCCTCCTGTTGTGGGGCTTGTAACCAGCCCCGCTCCCTTTTATGGGGTGGTCCACGGGTGGGAAGCCACTCTTCTCCTGGGAGCCGAATGGTCCTGTGAAGGGGTTCTAGTGCAAGAGTCAGGTACAAAGAGGAAAGTCTCACATCCACACCTCCCAGGCGACCTTTGCCAAGCCGAATAGGAGGACGTTTTGGCTCCGAAGCAGTTTTGGTTTGCACCCCGGAACTTCTTTTCTCTAGTTCGTCCCTCCATAATTCCACCCCCCACACCCTGAATTGCCACACACCACAGCTAATAATTTTCCTGCTGTCACATTACTTTTCTGGGGAAAACAGCTCAAGTCTTGTCTTTCCCGATGATACCCCATATTTAAGCGTTTACTATAATTACACTCTCGTCTCCTCTGAGCTCCCCCACCCCATATTACTCAGCTATGAGTTTTCACTCAAATCCAGTGGTAGAGACTCCCTTGGCGTTGTTTCGGAGAGATTGCTTCCTCCCCAGTTGGCCTGACCTCTTCCTACTTCTGGCCGCCCTTCCCCCCCTTACTCCCCTCTCACCTGCGCACTCAGGACACACCTCAGACTTCAGTGTGGGTAAACCTGCTGCTCATGACAGTCCAGTTCAGTCAGCAAGTAAATAAAACTCTTACTTTCTTTGGTTTTGGCTGTAGGCAGCATTCCCCCTCCGGCGGTGGCCTCTTTTAATTATAGGAGCTATACTTCTTCCCTGGGAGACATGCGAGGGGATTTTTTGTTGGAAATTTGTGTCTGCGGAGTTATTTTGGATCCTGGGCCAGTGGAGTGGCCGGGACGGAGAGGCTCTGAGTGAAGTGCAGATTGAGACATATCGAGTTTCTTCTAAAAGGATCATTTCATGTGGGAGGTTGGACAGAAAGTTTGCACTCGTGACTAGCATTCCAGTGAGAGACATGCATATTTTAAACAAAGCAGCGAGCTGGAGGCAGGCTGGGAGGGGAAACCTGGAAAGAAGTTACTAAGTGACAAACATCTGTCAACATGGGATAATTTGTACACTCCAATGCAAAACTCTCTGACCAGCTCTGTAGAGTTCAAGGAACAGAATCTAGTAACGTGGGCACATATTTGTTTCTGGGAGACCTAGTAAAAAAAGACCCCACCCCACAAGTATAAGGGTAATTAAAACAGCACAAGTGAAGGTAATTTTACGATTATGTTTTCCTGAGTTAACACAAAGTTAGATCCTGCGGTACTTTTGAAAAATATGCTTTACTTTAAAAGGATGGGGAGTGACAAACTGATTAGCAGGGCGTCTGGGGTACAAAACAAAACCGAGCAGAAGCATCACAAAGCTCAGGCAGCTCTGCTTGCTATGTCCCGGCCATCTTTAACTGAAAGATCACCCACCTCTCTTCCTGCCATCAAGGAGAAACAAGCAAAATGTTCTCAGGGGATTTTTCTTTCTTATTTGAACGTGGACTTTCAACAAGCATGTTACACATTTAGAGAGAAAATAAAAAAGTTCCTTCTTGAAGAGGGAAGTTATTAAAATCAGGCTGACAGATGCTGCAAAATGCTGGTTGGCCTCTCTCAAAACACACACACACACACACACACACACACACACACACACACACACACTGAATCGCCAACAATCACATAGAAGTTCAGGCCCCCGCTTCCACTGAGAAATCTTTTTCTCTTCCATCTTCCAGATCTGAAGACAAAAGGAGAGAAGGGCTGGTGGTGAGCAGGATGTCTCTGTTAGTTGTCAGCACAGGTCCATGGGTTAAGAATGCTAATGAGCCTATTGGCCAGCCCAAGACTAGGTTCTGGCTTTCGCACAGCACAGCGCACGCACGCTCGCTGATGCACACACATCGGGGTCCTGCAAGCAGTCTGACAGGCACACAGACAGAGCACCCTGCCTGACCTTGTCTCGCCTTTTTCCTCTGAGCCCAGAGATCGATTGCTGACCCCACTATTGGGCCAAAGCTTTATTTATCTGGCTGTGCAATGATATTATCAGCATTAAATGTTATATACAGCAAATGTCTTCCTAAATCAACACAATAGGATAGCTTGCAGAGACCAGCCTGCTTCTTATTCTTAAAGAAATCTCTCTCTCTCTCTCTCTCTCTCTCTCTCTCTCTCTCTCTCTCTCTCTCTCTCTCTCTCTCTCTCACACACACACACACACACACACACACCTCTTTTCCTACTTCAGAGTTGGAGGTATTTTATAGGCTAGACTTGGGGAGTTGATCCCTTGCTTTTAGCTTGGTTAGAAGAGGCCTTAGCAGTTAGGAAGACATATAGATATCATTATTTAGCCATTGCTGAGATTCCCATCAGGGGTCCTCTTGTCAGCAGGATCCAACTGCCTGGACCCACTCTATTCTACATGATCTGGATTTCTCAAATTTGGATAGAAGGGAAAGCAAGGGGAGGGGGATCTCATGTGCAACCTTCCACTGTCTTAATTGTTTTCTTTCCTCTCAATTACATTCATAAACCTATTTTCTGCAATGCATGTTATTTCTTTGTGCTTCAAAATTGAAACCACGTGCTGTCATTCCCCCTCTGCACACACAATAAATGCATTGCACCCTCCCCCAACCCATCAAGCTGCTATTTACATCTTGGTTACTCATTCTGCGATCCGGTCCCAGAAGAAGAAACTGGCCACATGGAAGCGGGTGAAACTTCATCAAAGGGTCTCTCAAATCTGAATCTCCAGCCCTAAACTCCAGAAAAGACTCCAGGTTTTACTTCCATGTCCTCCGACTACCTCTGTCCCTGACACAGGTGTTTGAAGCACTCTTGGGTAGAGTTAGCAGGAGAACTTCCAAGAAGAAAGGCTAACCAGCAACTTTGGGTCTGCCCCCCTCCCTAGACCCACTCCACCCCTTTCTCTCTGACCGGCTGGGGTCAGAGCAGCAGTCACAGCATACTGCTATTATTCACTGGTCCAAGATCTTGTGCACAGCAGGCTCTGAGCCCCAAGCCGCTACTCCCTGGGGAGAGGGTCTTCCCAAGCATAGAAGTCCGGTGATAAATAAATAAATATATAAATAAATAAACAAACTCTGAAGAGGGAGAGGGAGTTGGAAAATGGATTCCCTGACAAGAAGAGATAATAAATGAGAGGCGCTTTCAGATAGATATCTCAGACGTGAAATTGCGCCCAGCTGGTTGTGTAAGCAAACAAATAGTTTCATGTTAGGAACTCTCAACTTGTGGCTTGATGAATAGAACACGACAGAGGTAAATGGGTCTTTAACTCATTTAGGAACAGGACTCTTTGGTTTCCCAAGTAAAAAGCCCAGTGACGCCATAGGTCCCGAACAGGCCCTTTAATAAGAGTTTTATTAGTTCCCACTTGTGTTCTCCTGTCCCTCTCCCAGCTCCCTATGCTTCTCCTGGTCCCCTATTTGCAAAGCATTCAGGTACTCTGAAGAACGGGGAGGGGGCGCCCCAGACATGAGTCAGCCAGTGCAGGAAATAGAAGCATATTTGTGGATAAAAGGAGAGAGAACATTTTCAAAAGCAAACTTTTTTTTCACTGCCCCAAAGAGTTTGGGTTTGGGTTCCAGCTCCACAGCACCCCTAATAACAAAGCTGGGCCTGATGAAGTCTCCAGGATCCTGCCCCCAGAGGCTCCTATTATGGGGGGAGGGAAGGAGTCCAGAGTGCAAGGTGATCACTAAATGATCCACTCTGTCCCTGGACATCCTTTCACTCAACCTGATGCCAAGCTAGAGCTGGTGTGGGATGAACAGAGCATGTCAAAGGCCATACCTTCTCATTCTGTATTGTTGTATAAGCTGCAACGCACACCCTGGTTTCCCCAGCGATTTCTCAAAGCAACATGTCCCCCAAAGTGGCCTTCTAATTGTTTCAGTTAAGGTAGTTTAAATTTACTTCAAAGTCCCTAAAGTTCTCGGGTGCCCAGCAAGTATTTGGATTACAAAAGAGAATTAATCCTTCCTAAATGGGTAATTTGGAGACAGAAGCCACTTCACATGGGTTGTCTCCAGTTTTAAGATGTTTCCACTGTCTCTGGGAAACCCATGTTTTTCCATGCTCCGTAGGCTGGTCTTCATTTTCCCAGCTTTTGGGGAGGGGGTTTGGCGTTGGTGCTACTCCTCTGAAGTCACACAGTGACCTCAACACTCACACCCTGCTTACATGGCTCCCCCTGGCGCCGAGCATGAAAGTGGCTCAAAATCTCAGACCCTCCCCGCCGGCCACCCAGGCAGAAGTGGTTCCCACCTGCTTTACCTCGCTTCTGGTTCAGGCCAAGGACCACAGAAACTACCAGAGCCCGAGGAAACACAAGATGCACAACTCAAGCAATCTGGCCACCTGTTCGCTGCAATGAGAGCCCTGAGGGGGCTGGCCTGATCCCACATGCACGCACTAAAGCCAACCAGGAAAGTTAGGATGTTTCCCTGGGCTTCAGGAGGGTGCTTCCCTGAGTTTAGGGGCCTCGGTGTTAGTTCCTCAACATTCCCGCAGGGTGAGAAGACTCGTGTGTGTGTGTGTGTGTGTGTGTGTGTGTGTGTGTGTGTGTGTGTGTGTGTGTGTGTGGTTTCTGTGTCCTATGTGGGAAGTTCGCGGGTTCAAGCAGCTGTCCAGCCTAGCGTGGGTGCGCAACTCCTGATTCTTCTGGCATCCTCCTCTGTTTTAGGAGGGGACCTAGATCTCTGATTCCAGAAATAAAATTTTCTCTGTCTATATTGTAGGCAGACAGAGAAAACTACTGGGCGGGATTCTCAACTGGGCCAGTGGGCACGCAGTACCCCTGGCTCCTCTTCCCCCCTCGGTTCCAGGGTTCCTGGTTCCTGGAGGTGCCTCTAAGGAGGTCTGCTTCTTTCTACATAGTGGATTGGCTGGGACCTTGGGCGCAAGCTTACAAAAGTCTCTGGGATTCCTGAGCACCCTGCTGACCCCAGCCAGCAATAGTCAAAACAAAGCTGACACCTGGAACCCCGCCGACTGAAGTGCCCTGTGCATCTTGGGCCTGGGCCGCTTGCCTTTTTCTCCACTGGGTGTCTTGTGCTTGGACCCCCATATTGAAATTAATTGAAAAGTACATTTCTGAACTACGAAAAATGTTTATCTGTTTTCATCAGAGGGAATCACATTGTAATGAATATATTTACATCTCATTTCCAGAAAGCTGGGAAGATCCGTAAGCTCTCCTGGCAGCTTGGCTCCCCTCCCCCTCGGTGCCTTAGCTGCAGCCCACCCTTGAACCCACACGCCTAGCCTCTAGCCAGTCTGAAGATTCCTAGTACGTTCTAGGAGTCCCCTGGGTTAAACATGACCATCCTTTTGTCCCCTATGCCTCGGGTGTCCAGACTGCAGGAAAGTGAATTTAGGCTCAAAGGCTCCAAGCCCAGCCTGCCTAGCTGCACAGCGTAGGTAGGCCTCTAGCGTCCCGGTTTGAGACCATTGACCTACAGTGGCTTCGCAGATGCCGTGTTGCACCGAGATTATTAAAAATGTTAAGTGGGTGGGGCTCACTTAAGGATTGTAGGGACCTGGAAACTCCCAGACAGCAAAGCGAAAGCACAAGATTACTGATGATTCCTGAATGTGAGCTCTTGCTTCCTCTAAGCCTGTCTGGGGCCAGCGGGTGGGGGATGTGTGTGAGAGAGAGGTTTTATTTTTAACGATCTGGCTTTATTAATACGTCAAGGAAGCGCTCCCTTGGCAGTATGTGTTCTCACAGCTCCAACTCATACCCCATAAAACATTCATACTCTGAAGGCTGTCCCAGAGCTTGCCCCTCAATGCATGCCCAGTTATGATGCTTCAAGGAGAGGTATC